GTTCCGTTGTCTAAAAGGTAAAAAAGAAACACCAATAATTTAGTCATGTCCGTCTGTCCGTATGCTACAACTATTTTTTTTTTCACTTGATCGTGGCAGTAAGCAGAGTATGAAGTATGGAGTCATATTTTTATGCCTCGCTCGCAATTAGGTTAGAAGAAAAAAATATAGTGATGAAGATCTTTAAAAAGATTTTGTAGAATAATATAAGCTGATAATTTTTATATTTGTAATGGCAATAAATAAAACATATAGTTATAAAAATAAACAGGAAATTCAAATTCGTTAATCGTTACCATTTCCCAAACCCGCCCATATGTTACTATTAACGATAACGAGAGGTTTACGACCCGATCTAACGAACTTTATTTATATGTATATCGATTATCGACTATATAGAAAATAGCCTTAGCATATGGTCATTTATATTTCAACTGAACAAAATTAAAAGATTCTAACTTAAAGTAAACTTTAGTGCGCTTAAAAAAATATTTACTCTTACGTTATTCTTACATTCTTATATCTTAAAAATACACTAATCATAATGTAATAAAAATCAAGCACTATATTTCAAAACAATAAATTTACTTAAATGCGGACAAACTGACGCTTTATTAGTAGAAAACTGAATAAATAATAATCATGTTTTATAGTTGACTGTAGGGAATCGATTAATTTTGACTAATATAATTCCCTCGTCAAACAGTCGGCCGCTCGTTTAGGTAATCAATGTATGGCACTATAACGTTTATGTTTAATAATTTTACTATTAATTGGATCTGTTTATTTGGAAAGGTAAATAGGGTAACATATGTATGTATGGGCCTCGGGCTACCAAAGCAAATGTGGCCTTTCATCAGATTTGTGATTTAATAATTTCATTTAAAAAGCGCCTATTTTTTTTAATTAATTTAATTAATTTCTTAATATATTTTGCTTGTGGCAACAATTATGTATGTATAAAAGTAAATTAGAAATGCGTATACCATCAATTTATGTTTTAAGAGCGAAAATGCGTAAGGGAAAATTATTATTACTGATATATTTTTATTTTTAAAGTACTTAAACTGCGGGTATTTATGTCATTGATGATTTTTTTTAAATAAGAAAAAAGTGGATGAAAAGAATTTTACTTTAAAAATTTATGTCACGACATGTTTTGGTAAAAGGTCACCTTTATACAACTCCAGTTAATAGTCGCCGCCAATTTTTAAATTTATTTTGTTTAAATAATTATGTACAAAAATAATAAACTACACTCATCAAATTTAATAATACATTAACTACTTTAGTACGTTTACTAAAGTACAACTCGTAAAATAAACTTCGTAATGCAAAACTCCAAGTAAATTGATTCAGCTGGCTTATTAAGACGCAGCATTAAATCGGCGCGTATTAAAGTAATTTAAATGGAAACATGCCGTCGTTCTCTAACAAAACGTCTATATACGCATAATTTACGACAAGTTGTAAAACCTCGTACAAAATCACTGAACGTTAGGCAGGATAGGCACCGGCGTTGTATCGTTGCCAGAAAAAAAAAACAAATTTAGTGACATCCAGCATTTGTTATTATCGAAATTTTACACATCGATACATCGTCACCGAGAATAGGAAGGTAATTACCATAAAATCTAAAAATTGAAAAGCGACATCGAATAGGTGTTTAATTTTTTTCTCATTAAGGCTTTATGAGACGTAAATATTACTATTTCTAATTATGTGAGCTCGTAAAACCGATGTCGATAAGCCCATCACTAGCTGAATCGTTTTGGGTCATAAAACGCTACGCTAACCGCCATTATCATCACAAAGGACGCGTGTAATTGTTTGTCAAATAAATAATAATAAAATTTTGATGTTTATTAATATAATTTTAAAAATAACTTCGCATTGGTTTTTCAAGTATTTACCACAATACGATTATATAAATCGGCTTCGACTTTGTGGATTAATTTTTAAGTAGAATTTCGTTTGGCTATTTATGTCTATTATCCCTAGCATTAGCATAAGTTAATATGTGTTTATTGACTGTGACTAAAACAACTTTCTCATAACAAATATTGAATTTTGGGATTATACAACTTAATTTTAATTAAGTTTCCAGTTCTATAAGTATTTTCAAGTGTAGTAAGTAAACATAGTTATTCCGTCATCTTATAATTTAAAAATTACCTAATTCAGCAAATTGTACGACCTAGGCACTCCTCGTCCATTACGTCGACCGCAGGTCCTAGGTCAGCTAATTAGCACACGTAGTCACATCCCTTCACTCAGCCTTGGGTTTCATTGGAATGATTCATAAGATTTATGAGACACGATTTTTAAAAAGCGTATTCTAGTAATTTTCAAAATTACTAACGAAAGAAACAAGGTCAGAAGGGCAGCTTAAGTGCTAAAGTAAAAATTACTAAAAATAATTTTGTCCATTCTTATATGTAACGGTAATAATATTGACAGATCGTTTAAATAATAATGCAGAACTTTATTTAAAAAAAAATCTATCTTTGAGGATTGTTACGCGGGTTTATTTTTATTTTTGGTTCCCGACGTTTCGAATGCTTTACAGCGATCATGGTCACGGGAGACTAAGAGACGTCGGGAACCAAAAATAAAAATAAATTCGTGAAAAAATCCGAAAAGATAGTTTCTTTTAAAATGTCCAAAATTTGCGTAAAGTATAGACATATTAACAGAACTTTATATTATCGAATTTTAATTGTTAAAAATAAAAACGAACGAACGAAAAAGACAAATTTTTGTTACTTGTCAAAATCAAACTAAATTTAATTAGGTACTTAATTTCACATTCATCTTCATTCATGGTATCTAGAATGTAGATAGATTATTATTTATCTATATTTTACATTCACAATAACGTATATTATAGACAGAGTGTCATAAACATGAAGCCTAAAAATATTTTTTTTGTTTTTTTTTTTAATTACTGTAACGTAGAGTTACTGCGATTAGTAAATAAATGTCAATAAATATAAATATTTTATATAATAGCTTAGAGATTTTATTGTAATAAAGAAAAAATAAATAATGAGCTACTATTATGCTATCTCTCTTTCAATGGGAAGAGACAATGCTTAGAAAATATAAAGAGAATGCAGTACCTACCACTTTTATAATCCACTAGCATTGCCCGCGGCTCCGCCCGCGTTCAGATGACCAAAAACCGAATTCTTAGGTTTTACATATTAGTATTCTCTTACAATGCAGTTTTTGTATTTTTTCTCAGAAATGAAATATTTTCCCGCGGTAAAAAGTATCCTATATGTTGACCCGGATAACCAGCTATCATCATACCAAATTTCATCAAAATCCCTCCAATGCTTTTTCCGTGATGCGGTAACAGACAGATATACAGACAGACAGACAGACAGGCGAAAATTCTAAAAACTATAGATTCGGCCTCTGTATCGATAATAATGTCTATTTCAATAAGATTTTCCAAAAAATATTTTATGTACAGATTCGGCTTAGTTAGAATTTTATTATATGTATGTATAGATTATTATTAATATTTTTTTCAAAAGTCATAAATACACGAATAAAACCTATATAAAATATTTTAAAGAAAGTATCTGTATGGCAAAATTGAGAACAGTAGCGTAAACAGCAAATCACGCAACTTTTTTGGCTTTCATTTTTTTTGTCGGGCTTCGTCTAAATAATTTTTTAGTCTGAGATTTTACACTAATTTTTAAAAGCAAACTTCACGAATTTGCATATATAGGTACGTGACACGTAAAATCTCGATTACTGTTAGCTATATGATCTAAGCTAGGTACTTTTTATTATGGTATGAAATATCTGAACTACTGTATTACACGCATACGTAATAAGATATGAGTGTAGCGATTTATCTACTCGCTATTAAAAGCATTTATAAATTTTATACTAACTAAAAAATATTAAAGCATCTGTTTGTGTTTTGTAATAAATATTCCTTTGTTTATTTTAGATATTTCTCATAGTACGGTTATGGTTATTTGCACGACATAAACCCCCAAAGAATATTTTTAGATAATTTTTATTTCAATATAATAATTAGATGATCTAAAGATTTTATTAATTTTTTCATATGAGTCGTCTTAGGACACACGGACTACTAAAGTTTCATTGAAATTCGTCGAGTAGTTTTAAGGATATTTTTTTTAAAACAACATTCAATGTTCGTATGTAATAAGGTTTATAGATATACTAGCGACTCACCCTCGCTCCGCTCGGGTTCATCCCTAAGGTGGGCCACCCTTGTCACTTAGGGGTATGGAAAATAGATAGTAGCCGATTCTCAGACCTACTGAATATGCATATAAAATTTGGTAAAAATCGGTAAAGCCGTTTCGGAGGAGTACGGTAACTAACATTGTGACATGGAAATTTTATATATTAGATTGATTGCAAACTAAATAGAAATACACGCGAGCGCAGACGCTGGTTAGTAGCATAGATACCTAAAGTAGTTTTATGAACTCATTCTGGGTAAATCAAACTTGTTTATTATTGTTATTAAATCTTAATTTATTTTATTCATATAAATCTTATGCAGTCTAAGGACGGAATTCATTTACAAACAATAGAAATACAATTAACCACTAATCTATAAATATTTAACGTCTCATACAGGATCCTGCTCGAACGTACAGAATAATAACTTAATGCTGATATTATAGTTAGCAAAAAAATCATTTTGTATATAGAAATATTTCCATATACAAAACATGTAACAATAATACAAAATATATAGGTAAGTATATATTTCTATCCAATTTGAAAATTTACACTAAAAAATAGCAACTTATTTTTATATACATTTGTCTATATACAGAATGTAGGACAAAGTAATGCTTTACTTACAAAATTATATATCTCTTGCATTTCTCCATTGGAACACTATTTCAGACGACAATTGTTAACAAACACGACTATACAACATTATAATAAGAATATTTACAATATTTACTTATATCAGAACTAAATGTAAATTAACAAATAAGATCAGCTCTTTGTCTAAGCAGTTCTAATCGTAGTTCATGTTCTCGAGCTGCTAATCTTAAAGCTGCTATACTGGTACTTCTCACATCTTCTGTGGGGGGGATGGATTCACTTCCAGGAGAGATGGGGGGTGAAATAGATGGAGCAGGAGAACGAATAACTTCTGGAGAAAGTCGAGATTGTTCAGGCGAAAAACGAGGAGGTTCTGGTACTGTTAAGTTGGCGAAAATCGAATGGAAATGTGGTGATGTTGCGTATAATGGGGCCCCGAAGAGTTGGGGACGGGATAGAGGTGGCAGATACTGAGCGCCGAACAGTGGAGAGCTTGCATATCTGTTGGAATTAAAACTAATTTTAATAATGAATAATTTTATATTTCTATATGATTATAACTTAACTAATAATTATCTATTACTATAATACTACAATACATAATAATCGAAGACTCTTGTAATAAATGTTGTGTAGGTACTATTAAAAATGCGTAAGTTTGAATGTGAGTGTAACTATGTCCGCCCGTTCAGATGACCAAAAACCAAATTCTTAGGTTTTACAAAATATTAGTATATACTATATATATTAGTACTTTGCACTTTTTGTATTTTTTTCAGAAATGAGATATTTTCCTGCGATAAAAAGTATCCCATATAACCAGCTTTTACCATACCAAATTTCATCAAAATCCCTCCAGTGGTTTTCTGTGATGCGATAACAGACAGACAGACAGACAGACAGACAGACAGACAGACAGACAGACAGACAGACAGACAGACAGACAGACAGACAGACAGACAGACAGACAGACAGACAGACAGACAGACAGACAGGACAGACAGACAGACAGACAGACAGACAGACAGACAGACAGACAGACAGACAGACAGACAGACAGACAGACAGACAGACAGACAGACAGACAGACAGACAGACAGACAGACAGACAGACAGACAGACAGACAGACAGACAGACAGACAGACAGACAGACAGACAGACAGACAGACAGACAGACAGACAGACAGACAGACAGACAGACAGACAGACAGACAGACAGACAGACAGACAGACAGACAGACAGACAGACAGACAGACAGACAGACAGACAGACAGACAGACAGACAGACAGACAGACAGACAGACAGACAGACAGACAGACAGACAGACAGACAGACAGACAGACAGACAGACAGACAGACAGACAGACAGACAGACAGACAGACAGACAGACAGACAGACAGACAGACAGACAGACAGACAGACAGACAGACAGACAGACAGACAGACAGACAGACAGACAGACAGACAGACAGACAGACAGACAGACAGACAGACAGACAGACAGACAGACAGACAGACAGACAGACAGACAGACAGACAGACAGACAGACAGACAGACAGACAGACAGACAGACAGACAGACAGACAGACAGACAGACAGACAGACAGACAGACAGACAGACAGACAGACAGACAGACAGACAGACAGACAGACAGACAGACAGACAGACAGACAGACAGACAGACAGACAGACAGACAGACAGACAGACAGACGACAGACAGACAGACAGACAGACAGACAGACAGACAGACAGACAGACAGACAGACAGACAGACAGACAGACAGACAGACAGACAGACAGACAGACAGACAGACAGACAGACAGACAGACAGACAGACAGACAGACAGACAGACAGACAGACAGACAGACAGACAGACAGACAGACAGACAGACAGACAGACAGACAGACAGACAGACAGACAGACAGACAGACAGACAGACAGACAGACAGACAGACAGACAGACAGACAGACAGACAGACAGACAGACAGACAGACAGACAGACAGACAGACAGACAGACAGACAGACAGACAGACAGACAGACAGACAGACAGACAGACAGACAGACAGACAGACAGACAGACAGACAGACAGACAGACAGACAGACAGACAGACAGACAGACAGACAGACAGACAGACAGACAGACAGACAGACAGACAGACAGACAGACAGACAGACAGACAGACAGACAGACAGACAGACAGACAGACAGACAGACAGACAGACAGACAGACAGACAGACAGACAGACAGACAGACAGACAGACAGACAGACAGACAGACAGACAGACAGACAGACAGACAGACAGACAGACAGACAGACAGACAGACAGACAGACAGACAGACAGACAGACAGACAGACAGACAGACAGACAGACAGACAGACAGACAGACAGACAGACAGACAGACAGACAGACAGACAGACAGACAGACAGACAGACAGACAGACAGACAGACAGACAGACAGACAGACAGACAGACAGACAGACAGACAGACAGACAGACAGACAGACAGACAGACAGACAGACAGACAGACAGACAGACAGACAGACAGACAGACAGACAGACAGACAGACAGACAGACAGACAGACAGACAGACAGACAGACAGACAGACAGACAGACAGACAGACAGACAGACAGACAGAC